AGGTGCAACAGCAAGGGACGAGGGAGGAGGGGACGGGAGGAGGGGAGGACGAGACGAGCGGGAACGGAGCAGCATAGGGTGGGTGGGCAGGACAGGAGAGACGGGACGAGCACGGGGGGGACGGCGAGCCCAAACGTGAGACGGAGGGGTAGGGTCAGGGGACAGCGGAGGAGACACAGGAGGGGAACGAGGAGGAAGACGGGCCGGAGACGAGTCCGGCGGCGGGAACACAGGACCGTAGACAGGGAGGTCAGCAGGCGGTGGGGGAGACACCGGCGCGCGGTCCGGTGAGGGAAGGCCGAGCAGGCGGAGAGCGGAAACCGGCGGCGACGGCTGCTGCGGCGGCGACGACGGCTGGGCCGGAACTCTCGGACCAGCAGAGGCAGAACGACCGTCGGCAGAACACTCAACAGCAGCACCCCCTGAACCAACACCCCCAGAGCGAGAACCCCCTCCAACACCAGCGGCACCCCCAGAAGCCGCAGGACGAACACCCTCCTCCACACCAGCACCCCCAGGGGCCAAGAGCGGCGGCGGCAGTGGCGGCAACGGCTGCGGCGGCGGCGACAGCGGCGACGGCTGCGGCAGCGACGGCGACGGCGGCGGCAGCGGGGTCGGCGACTGCGACAGTGGGGGCGGAGGTACCGGGGAAGGGGGACGCGGCAAGGACGGACCGGGGGTACCACTAGAGTCAGCAGACTCCTCAACGGGGACAACCGACGGGAGGGGAGTGACGTGGGAGACACCAGACGGGGCAGGACGAGGCGGGAGAGGGGCAGGGGCTACCGGGGGAGAGGGAGCAAGGAAAAGGGGGGGGGCAACTGGGAGACCTCGGTGAGGGAAGCGGCGGTAGAAGGAGACGGACTCGTCAAAGGTGACGTCACGAGAGTGGAGGAAGCGGTGAGACGGCGGGTGGTAGAAAAGCCAGTCAGACGTGTCCAGGGGGAAACCGAGGAAGACACAGGGGACAGTGCGGGCAGTGAGCTTGTCCGTGCCAGAGGCACGAACGTGAGCAAGGCAGCCCCAGACGTGGAACGCAGACGCGTCACCGGGGGACCCGGTCCAAAGGAGGGTCGGCGAAACCTGCGGCCGCTGGGAGCGTGGCCACAGGTTAAGCTGGTGAGCAGCGCAGCGAACAGCGAACGGCCACAAAAAATGGGGGGCATCGGCATGGATCATGGAGGTACGGGCGACCTCCATGACCAAGCCGATGCAGCGCTCAGCAACGCCATTCTGCTGTGGCGAGTCCGGCAAGGTGTACGACTGGGTGATGCCCTCCGCACGACAGAACTGTCCAAGCCGACCAGAGGCGAACTCGCCGCCACGGTCGGAGTGGAGACACAACACGGGGAGACCGCGGTGGAGACGCGCAGCCACAACCCACGGGAGAAGAACGTCGGGCACGTCGGCCTTCCGCTCCAGGGGAAACACCGTGGTGTAGCGCGTGTAGTCGTCGACGAGCACAAGGAAGTAGCGCTCACCGCGCGGTCCGGGGACGGGGGCAGGGCCCCAAACGTCCAAGTGCAGGGTCTGAAGGGGGGCAGTAGCAGGACGCAGCGAGGAGGAGTGAGGAGCACGGCGGAGCCGACCCTCGACGCAAGGCGTGCACGGTGGCGCAGTCGAGGGAGGAAGGGCAGGGAGTGACGCAGGGAGACCTAAGACAAGACCGTGCTGGGACATGTGACGCAGACGCGGGAGAGCAGGGTGACCTAAGCGGTGGTGCCAGAGAAGGGAGGGGTGAGCGAGGGACCGACACGAGCAAGCTGCAGCGACCTGGGAGGACGCACCAAGCGGGGGGGAAGCGGGGTCTAGGGTAAACAGACCGGACACCGGGTCCCGGGGGAACGTCGCAAGGGGGGAACCTGAGACAGCCTCAGAACAGACAGCGAACCGCTCGTGCCCGGGGAACGTGGTGGTGACGCCAAGGTCCTGGAGACATCCGACACCAACCAGGTTCCTGGAGAACGAGGGAACGTGGAGGCCAGTAAGGGAGCCTGAGGGAACTGCCGGACAGGGAAGGGACGTAGAACTGCGCGCGACGACCGGACCCGCAGAGGGGTCAGCGAGAGAGACAACAGCAGGTGCAGCAAGCGGCGTGAGCGTGGAACGGTCGCGGAAGAAGCAGGCAGAAGCACCGGAGTCGAGAGTGAAGGACAGCGACGCAGTGGCGGAGGCCGGGGACGGAGCCGGTGCAGCGACTAGACTAGGCAACCTAGGCAGTCCTACGCCTGACGCAGCAGGGGAGGCTAAGCTACACAGTGGTGCAACACCTAAACTAGAGTACACAGGGTAATAAGATCCAGCAAAACTAGAAGTGTCAGAATACAAAGCATGCAAAGCAGCACCTAGCTGATCCATGTCTAACTCAAAGATCGGCACGCCCTGGCGGAGCAGGCTGTGCCAGTCGGGGAGGTCCGGGGCCGGGCCAAAGCGACGACGAAAGAGATCGTCGAGGCGGCGGAAACAGCGGGCGGTCGGGTGCGGGCGGCGGCACAGAGTGCCGCGAAGAGGCCCGGTCTGAAGCTGGTACTGGCAGGTGACAGCACCGGAGCCGCCGGTAGACGCCAAGCTGCGCGGGCCGCCACCACGGCCACTACCTCCGGAGGTGCCGGGCCAACCAGGCGGGAGACGGGCCCACTGCTGCGGCGATTGCTGCTGGGACGGTAACTGCTGCTGGGGCGGCGGCTGCGGCTGGGGCTGCTCCTGCTGCGGCTGGGGCTGCTGCTCCTGCCCACCAGTGGTAGTCCCCGCAGGCGGACTACCGTCACCACCACTACTGCCACCACCACCCCTACCCCCCTGGCGACCACGGCCACCGCGGCGCGAGCGCTGCTGCGGGTGGACCGCACCAGCCGACTCGGTGAGAGGGGCCGCCGAGGCGACCGCAGCCGAAACGTCAGTGAACGCACACTGGGAGGGGGCACAACCGTGAAAGATAGAAACTGCCGGCGCACCGCTCGACTGAGCGATAGTGCGCTGGCGAGTCTCGATCTCGGTGAGGGTGTCGACAAAGGCAGTGAGAGTGAGGTCACCCGGGTGCTGGCTAAGAAAGTGATCGCGAGCACTAGCGAGGCGGTCTGGCAGGCGCATGGCGATAAAATAGAGCGTCATGCAGAAAGGGGGGGGGAGCGCAGTGAGCTGGGCAGCAGTGCTGGCAGTGCGATAGCGGGTCTCTAGGGCACGCAGGTGAGTGGCAAAGTCTGCGACGGTAGGGAAAGCTGCAAGGTCTGGGAAAAGCATAGGGAAGAGCAGGCGACCAGCAGAAGCAGACGCGGGTGTGGAATAGCGGGCAATAACAGCGTCTAAGTAGGCTTTGGCCGTCTCAATAGTAGCAAAACGCGAGCGCTCAGAGACAGGGAGGGCGTGGCTAATGGCAACCTGAGCGACTGCATCGCGGGAGTCCCAGACCGCACGGGCAAGCGCAGCAGTAGAGAAGGTCTCACGGTCATCAGAGGAGGGATCAGCAGGGAGGGGAGCAGGTGCGGGGGGACGGGGGAGCAAGCCGTCGATATGGACAACCAAAGAGTGGCCATCCTGGCGCTGACCTGTAAGGTGGCGGCGGAGATCGGAGAGCCAGGCGGCGAAGTCAACCGCATGGCCCTCCGCGTCCAGTCGGAGCACGAAGTCCGCCATCGTGCAGGGTCAGCGGCACAGCTCCACAGGAACACAGCGACAGCCCCCTCCAGCACGGCGGCCGCGAAGCGCCTCAGCACGGGCGAGCAGAGGAGACGGAGCCCGAGGCGGCACGGCAGGACGAGCCGGGGCGAAGGGGTCAGGCACGTGCGGTGGGGCCAGGCAGGTGCTGGCGAGGCCAGGAAGGCACGGCGGGGCCAGGCAGGCGCGGCGGGGCCAGGCAGGTGCGGCGGGGCCAGGCAGGCGCGGCAGGGCCAGGCAGGCGCGGCGGGGCCAGGCAGGCGCGGCGGGGCCAGGGAGGCGCGGCGGGGCCAGGCAGGCGCGGCGGGGCCAGGGAGGCGCGGCGGGGGCCAGGCAGGTGCGGCGGGGCCAGGCAGGCGCGACGGGGCCAGGCAGGGCGCGACGGGGCCAGGTAGGCGCGGCGGGGCCAGGCAGGCGCGGCAGGGCCAGGGAGGCGCGGCGGGGCCAGGCAGGCGTGACGGGGCCAGGCAGGGCGCGACGGGGCTAGGCAGGGCGCGACGGGGCCAGGCGGGCGCGACGGAGCCAGGCAGGGCGCGACGGGGCCAAGCGGCGGGGCCAGGCAGGTGCGGCGGGGCCAGGCAGGCGCGACGGGGCCAGGCAGGCGCGACGGGGCCAGGGAGGGCGCGACGGGGCCAGGCAGGCGCGGCGGGGCCAGGCAGGCGCGGCAGGGCCAGGGAGGCGCGGCGGGGCCAGGCAGGCGTGACGGGGCCAGGCAGGGCGCGACGGGGCTAGGCAGGGCGCGACGGGGCCAGGCGGGCGCGACGGAGCCAGGCAGGGCGCGACGGGGCCAAGCGGGCGCGACGGGGCCAGGCAGGGCGCGACGGGGCTAGGCAGGGCGCGACGGGGCCAGGCGGGCGCGACGGGGCCAGGCAGGGCGCGACGAGGCCGAGTGGGCGCGACGGGGCCAGGCAGGGCGCGACGGGGCTAGGCAGGGCGCGACGGGGCCGAGCGGGCGCGACGGGGTCAGGCAGGGCGCGACGGGGCCAGGCAGGGCGCGACGGGGCTAGGGTGGCGCGACGGGGCTAGGGTGGCGCGACGGGGCCTAGGAGGGGCGCGACGGGGCTAGGAGGCGCGACGGGGCCCAGGAGGGGCGCGACGGGGCTAGGGTGGCGCGACGGGGCTAGGGTGGCGCGACGTGGCCCAGGAGGGGGGGGGGGGGGGGGGGGGGGGGCGACGTGGCTAGGAGGCGCGACGGGGCTAGGAGGCGCGACGTGGCCTAGCTAGGGTACGGGCGGAAGCGGTAGGTGGGGGATGCTAACCTACGCGTGATACCATGTCAAAGTGAGAACGAATAATGACTAGAGGTGGAAACCTAGAACAAATACTAGTTGGTTGTACTCACTAGAAGCATACCTCAGTCTAGCCTATAACTTCTACATAGATAATATGTATAAGTTGACAATATACACCCCCTCGAGTTCTACAAGACGGTCCTTATTCGCCACTATTTTTCATAGAACGATTTCTGACATGATACTCAACACGCCTAGCAAACATAGGATGATCCTTGCTGTTGTGCTGCTTGCCAAAAAATGAGCAGGTTTTCCCGATGCCTCGACTATCCCCAGTGGAGGAGCGGGAGGGGGGGGGCCAACTGGCTTGGCCGGTGATGGCGTATTGGGTACCGGAGCTGGTGATTCGTGAGAAGGAGCAGGAGGGATAGGCGGTGTAGAAGAACCAACAACTGAGGAGTCCGGAGGAGGCGGCGAAGGAGGTGGGATGGGGGTTTTGCAAACAGATGGGTCGAGATCCCGGCCAATCAGGTCGCTGAATTGTCCCTTGTTGACTGCTCCGGCAGGGCAATCTTGCGGAATAGCGAAGGGGTCACAACACGCGGTCACCAGAGGAAATACTGAAGATCCGCCGAAGCAGGAGTCCTGGAAGGAATGGAGAGATGGAAGGAGGAAGAATAGCTCGTGAAAGGAGTTGCATTTTATTTTCACAAGGGCACCAGAGAGGGGCGGCAGAAAGGAGGTGAAAGAAGAAAATCAGCGGTGCGGCGAAAGAAACGTCGCTATGATGAATGTAAAAGTAGTTGTAACCAACATACCTTCTCTACAGTTATGTTGAAGTTACTGTAGCCAATGGCCTGCATTACACTTGCGACGACAGCACTTAGGAAGGACTCTGAGCCAGTGATTAGAGTGCTGAGAGGCACGGCCCCGACTGCAAGTGGGAGGAGGAGGGGGAGGGGCGAGAAGTTTGAGGCACTTGATTGCTGCCTTCATCACACTTGCGATGGCAGAGCTCAGGAAGGACTCTGATCCGGTGATGAGAGTGCTGAGAGGCATGGCCCCAACTGCAAGTGGGGAATACGTGATAAGTGACATTAGCTGATAACTGGTAAGCATTAGCATGGGCATGTGCATGCCTGCAACGACAGCACTGAGAAACGACTGTGAGCCTGTGCAGGCGGTTATGAGTGGGCTGAGAGGCCTGGCCCCCGCTGCAAGGGGTATGGTGGTAATAAATGATGAAAATCAATAATCAATGGGGCTGAGAAGCAGATGGTCATGCACTCAACAGGAAATGCCTTGGCAGACGCCAACCGAGATGTCAGCATAGCTGCGCACACTGCCATGGTGGCTGTGCTGTCTGCTGCCATGCCAAGGCATGCACTCGACTGCTATGCCATGCTAACTCAACTGCTATGCTATGCTGACCCAACTGCTTTGCTATGCTATGCTGACTCAACTGCTATGCTATGCTGACCCAACCACTATGCTATGCTGACCCAACTGCTAAGCTATGCTGACCCAACCGCTATGCTATGCTGACCCAACTGCTATGCTATGCTGACCCAACTGCTATGCTATGCTGACCCAACTGCTATGCTATGCTGACCCAACTGCTATGCCATGCTGACCCAACTGCTATGCCATGCTGACCCAACTGCTATGCCATGCTGACCCAACTGCTATGCTATGCTGACCCAACTGCTATGCTATGCTGACCCAACTGCTATGCCATGCTGACCCAACTGCTATGCCATGCTGACCCAACTGCTATGCCATGCTGACCCAACTGCTATGCTATGCTGACCCAACTGCTATGCTATGCTGACCCAACTGCTATGCCATGCTGACCCAACTGCTATGCCATGCTGACCCAACTGCTATGCTATGCTGACCCAACTGCTATGCCATGCTGACCCAACTGCTATGCCATGCTGACCCAACTGCTATGCTATGCTGACCCAACTGCTATGCCATGCTGACCCAACTGCTATGCTATGCTGACCCAACTGCTAAGCTATGCTGACCCAACTGCTAAGCTATGCTGACCCAACTGCTAAAAAAAGCTGACCCAACTGCTAAGCTATGCTGACCCAACTGCTACGCTATGCTGACCCAACTGCTAAGCCACGCTGCTGACTCACTGGAAATGCCTTGGCAGACGCCAAAGAAGAACTCAGCATAGCTGGCGCACACAGCCATGGTGGCTGTGCTGTCTGCGGCTACTCTGGTATACTTCCCCGCATCTGCACACGCACATTAGTGCAACACGGAAAGGGGAAAGAAAGACGGAGTCAGTATAGCTGGCCACACACAGCCATGGTGGCTGTGCCGTCTGCTGCTACTCTGGTGTACGTCCCTGCATCTGCACAGCACAGACAGGGCAGACGCAGAAAGCAGGGTACAGTGTAGCGTAGGGTGTGACTGTAGAGGGATTCGGCAAAGCTGGCGCACACTGCCATGGTGGCTGTGCCGTCTGCTGCTACCCTGGTGTACATCCCTGCATCTGCACAGTACAGTCACACATATGGTATAGTCACACAAATGGTACAGTCACGTGCATACAGCTACACGAGCAGCTACACCACTTGTGCAAATCTCTATTCTCTAATATGAGACTCGGGCTTTAAACCGACTCCCACCACTGCACTTAGTGGAATACTATCCGAGGATCAGCTGCATGGGCAGTTACGTTGTGTGCCAGCCACCCCCACCTGCTTTTGAGGCGCCTCAAAAGCAATCCCACCACTGAGCTTAGTGGAATACTGTCCGAGGATGTGTGTCAGTGGTGTAATACTCCCACCACTGCACTATATGGGCAGTTACGTTGTGTGCCTGCCAGCCACCGTCACCTAAGTTACACATCATCTCGCCTCACCTGGGTTACATGTCATCTCGCCTCACCTGCATTACATGTCATCTCGCCTCATCTGGGTTACATCGTCCCTCACCTGGGTTACATGTCACGGCACACAGCAGATCTTCTATAGCTTGCTCGCACATCTGCCCTCCTGCGAACATGTCACACATCTGTGGGCGTGTGCATGGGGAGGTGAATACAGGGGAGGTGAATACAGGGGAGGGAGGGACATGAAGCGCGCGGAGTACACAGGCACAAGGGGAAGGTGAATGCAGGGATGGTGAGTACTAAGGCCTACAAGGAGGGGGGGGGGGGGGAGGGCGAGGAGAAAATCATGTGCCTTAAAAGCCCGAGTCAACGAATCCCACGAGACTCTGACCAATCAGAACTTGGAAAATCATGTACCTTAAAGCCCAGGTCTATCAGAACTACGACATCCTCCAGATTTGTCCCCACGAGCTATAAAGCCGAGCCCAAGTTGCTGCACTCCCCGCAGCACGTCTAAGCAGTAACAGCAGCGCACCGCGTGGGGACTGGCTGCCTGGGGAGCATAAGGGGGTTGGCCGCACTGCACTCCCCATGAGTCGCGCCAGATTGATCATTACAGCCAGCACGAGCTGCTCACGAGTCAACGAGTCCCACGAGACTCGGTTCTGTATGCACCACCACATCATCAAGATTCGTTCCCACAAGCCTTAAAGCCCCAAACACTTCAGAAGCCAAGCACAGGAGAAAAGCACGCACCTTAAAGCCCGAGTCAACGAATCCTACGAGGCTCGGGTCTGTACGCACCACTACATCCTTAAAGCCCCACACATCCTCGGTCTAAGTCGCTGCACTCGCCACAGCACGTCTTGTCGTCAAAGCACGTACCTTAAAGCCTGGGTCGACGAATCCCACGAGACTCGGGTCTATCAGTACCACTACATCTTCCAAATTAGTCCCCATCAGCTTTCAAAGCATTACCTTAAAGCCTGAGTCAACGAATCCCACGAGACTTGGGTCGATCAGCACCACTACATCCTCAAGATTCGTTCCCACGAGCTTTAAAGCTGAGCCCAGGTCGCTGCACTCCCCGCAGCACGTCTCATTCGCAGCAGCAGGGCAGCGCGAGGGGACTATTGTAGGGGTTTTCGGGAGCTCTCCAGTAAAGGGGCACACAGGGTAGGACGGCGCAGGCTCGGAAGCAGGAGCAGGCTCGGAGGAGGGGGCAGGCTTGGAAGCGGGAGCAGGCTCGGAAGAGGGGGCAGGCTCGGAAGCAGGGGATGGGGGGAGGATCCCTAGCATACAGGCATCTGGGTTTAGCGTTTGGGGGAGAGGGGAGAGTGGGGAGGAGAGAGGGGAGGAGAGAGGGGAGGAGAGAGAGGAGGAGGAGCGAGGGGAGAGGGAGGAGGAGGAGTGGGAGGAGTTGATGGAGTTGGGAGGGCAGGTGGGGGGGATGGTGAGGGGGTCGCAGCACGCAGTGTAGCGGGGGTACAGGCCGGTGCCGTTGAAGCAGGAGGCCTGTGTTGATGGGGGGGAGAAGCAGCATGGGGAGAGAAGTGGGGAAGGCGGGGCCTGAGGGAGGTGCAAGGGGCACTGGTAGCAGAGGGAGCAGAGGGCGCAGGGGGGGCAGGAGGGGCAGGGGGAGCAGAGAGCAGCATGGAACGGAAAGGCCTACAGAGAGCAGCATGGAAGAAGGGGGCTTACCGGGTCCACAGTGATTGTAACGGAGGGTGCACCCATCAGCGCAACCACACTCGCTGCAATGACCTGCATGAACATGAATGGTCCTAAGGTACAGAGAGAGGAGAAGTGCAAGCTCACCGGGTCCACAGTGATTGTAACGGAGGGTGCGCCCATGAGTGCAACCACACTCGCTGCAACGACCTGCATGAAAGTCTCGCTTTGGGGGGGGCTCAAAACGGCAAGCAGCTTACCGGATCAACTGTGATCGTAACGGAGGGTGCTCCCATGAGTACAACCACACTCGCTGCAATGACCTGCATGAACATGGAAGGGTCCGGCACCAGTCGGCCCAGGGATACCCCCTCCCCCACTGGCGTGAGGAGAGAAGGAGCGGGAGAGGGGGGAGAGGAGGGGAGAGGGGGGGAGAGAGGGAGAGAGAGGGGGAGAGGGGGGAGAGGGGGGGAGAGGGGGAGAGAGGGGGGGAGAAGGGAGAGAGAGGGGGAGAGGGGGGGAGAGGGGGGGAGAAGGGAGAGAGAGGGGGAGAGGGGGGGAGAGGGGGGAGAGAGGGAGAGAGAGGGGGAGGGGGGGGAGAGGGGGGGAGAAGGGAGAGAGAGGGGGAGAGGGGGGGAGAGGGGGGGAGAGAGGGAGAGAGAGGGGGAGAGGGGGGGAGAGGGGGGGAGAAGGGAGAGAGATGATCTAAATGAAAGAGCAAGGGCCTGGGACCAACCACACTCGCTGCATGCACATCGAAGGGTCTGGCACCAGTCGGCCCAGGGATACCCCCTCGCCCACTGGCGTAAGGAGAGAAGTAGCGGGAGAGCAGGGGAGAGGGGAGGAGCAGCGGACGGGGAGAGCAGCAGGGGAACGATCTCAATGAACACGGAAGGGTCCGGCACCAGCCGACACACGGATACCCCCCCCACTGGCAGGCGTGCAATCACACTACCCCTGTCAACAGCCCACACACACACACAGCCCACTGGCAGGCACGCACACGTGCAGGGAAGAGGGGAGGGGTTGTGGGGTCCGGAGGAGAAGAGGGATGCGCTGTGGGTTGTGAGCTCATAACGGCCACACTCGCTGCGATGATCTGAACAAGCAAGCGTCTGGCACCAGTCGACCCAGTGGTTTTTGAGAATTCTCAATAACTTATCACAGCACCAACCGGCCCACGGATACCTCCCCCCACTGTCGTTCGTTGCAAGTCCTAAGCCTCCAACAGCTACCACCCACTCACTGTCGATGCTCTGGCAGCAGTAGAACACCTTCTGGGCGAACACCTCATAGACACCCCTCCTATCAACAGCCCCCACAAACACATCGCCTCTCATTCTAAGATCTAAGCCCCTAACACCGTCAGCCACTCACTGTCGATGCTCTGGCAGCCGTAGAACACCTCCTGGGCGAACGCCTCACACACGCTACCCTTGTCAACACAACCCGCACACACAAGGACACCATCTCTCGTCGCAAGAACTGAGCCCCTAACAGCCCCTAGCACCGTCAGCCACTCACTGTCGATGCTCTGGCAGCTGTCGAACACCTCCTGGGCGAACGCCTCGCACACGCTGATCGACGTGCCCGTGGCAGTGGCGCTGAGATACGCGCTGGCATCTGCTTATAGCCAGGCAAGTCCATTAAAGGGAATAGAGGGGAGGGGGAAGGCGGGGAGAGTGGGAAACAGGAGTATGATTGAGTCTGATTGAGGGGCCTGCAGCAGTGGCGCTGATTGAGGGGCCTGATTGAGGGGCCTGCAGCAGTGGCGCTCAGATACGCGCTGGCGTCTGCTTATAGCGAGACAAGTCCATTCAAGGGAGAAGGGGGGAGGGGGAAGGGGGGAAGAGTGGGAAACAAGAGTATGATTGAGTCTGATTGAGGGGCCTGCAGCAGTGGCGCTGAGATACGCGCTGGCGTCTGCTAATAGCCAGGCAAGTCCATTCAAGGGAGGAGGGGGGAGAAGAAAGAAGCAAAGAAATAATATTTGTGAGGCTCCTAGAAAACGCAAGCTCATCGAGGTGCCTGCGGCAGTGGCGCTCAGATACGCGCTCGCATCTGCTTATAGCCAGGCAAAAGCATTAAAGGGAGAAGGGGGGAGAAGACAGAAGCAAGAATGCACGCTGGTTGAGGTGCCTGCGGCAGTGGCACTCGCTCAGCATGCACCAGCCTCTGCTTATTGGTGCACAAAGCCACACCGAAGGTCTTTTGAGTCACAAAGCCACACTAAAGTACTCTAAAGTCATCCCGCTGATCGAGGTGCCTGCGGCAGTGGCGCTCAGATATGCACTGGCTTGTGCTTTTAATTGTGCAAAGCCACGCCGAAGGTCTTTTGAGTCGACTCTAAAGTCATCCCGCTGATCTAGGTGCCCGCGGCAGCAGCAGTGGCACTCGTCATGCACCGGCCTCTGCTTATAGTTGCGCAAACCCATACCGAAAGGAAAGGGTGGGAGAATATGGTAGCACTTTTTTACATGATACTCACACCCTTGTTTGCTACAGTCACACTTCCATTATATCACTCTAAACACAATGAAGGTTCCCTGGGTCACACGTGGGGGTGCAACTTAGATCCGTCAACTACTGCAGGGAGCAGAGTTACCCGTCACCATGTTGCGACCTCTGTACAGTCACACCTCCCATAGTCACACCTCCCATTGCCACACCTCCCACTGCCAAACCTGGATTGCAAGTCAAAACACAGCTGAGATCCTCCAGCAGCTGCAGGCACTTGCTCTGGGTGATGAAGGCGCGCAATGTCACACCCCTATAGTCACACCTCCCAATGCCACATCTCTAAAGTCGCACCTCCTTTTAGTCACACCTGGATTGCAGGTCAGAGCGCAGCTGAGATCCTCCAGCAGCTGCAGGCACTTGCTCTGGGTGATGAAGGCGCGCAATGTCACACCCCTATAGTCACACCTCCCAATGCCACATCTCTAAAGTCGCACCTCCTTTTAGTCACACCTGGATTGCAGGTCAGAGCGCAGCTGAGATCCTCCAGCAGCTGCAGGCACTTGCTCTGCCCGATGAACGCATCGCACGCCTGGTGGGGAGAGAGGGGGGAGGGAAGTGGATTACGGGGGGAGAGAGTGAGGCCAAGAGAGTGAGGCTGAGAATACAGGGGCAGTTGGGAGCTGAGATCCTCCAGCAGCTGGAGGCACTTGCTCTGCCCGATGAACGCGTCGCACGCCTGGTGGGGAAAACGGGGAGGGGGAGAGAGGGGGGGGAGAATGGGGAAGGGAACAGGAGAGGAGAAGGGGGGGTGGGGGGATGGGCGTTAGAACAGTGGTCTGCCGGATGAACGCGCCGCACGCCTGATCGAGAGGACAGTGGGAGGGGGATGGGTGGATGGGACATTTGAGGTTCCATTTTTGAGGCGCCTCAAAAATGGACTCCTCACACGAGGGGGATGGGTGGATGGGTGGATGGGACATACGAGGTTCCTGCAGCTGCAGGCTCGTGGTCTGCCCGATGAACGCGCCGCACGCCTGATGAGGAATAAGGTGGGGGGGCGGGGGGGAGGGGGAAGGAGGGGGGGAAGGGGGGGAGGGAGGTGGGAATTGGGAGGGGGGGGGATGGGAACAGCTAAGGGGGACAGGGGGACAGGGGGATGGGGGTAGGGGGTGTACGAAGCTCAGCGCGTCGGGACTGACGAGCGACACCAGGTCGCTCAAACTCGCTTCCTAAGTCACCTGAATGTTTGTGCTTAGCAATAAATCGCATTCTACAGTAAACCGCAGTACAGTAAATTGGTTTGACGAACCTCGGAGTTGGGTGGCACGAAGCTCAGCGCATCGGGACTGACGAGCGACACCAGGTCGCTCATGCTCGCTTCTTGACTCGCCTGCAATGTTTGATAAATATAGCAATCTACAGTAAAGTGCAGTGCATAACGAACCTTAGAGTTTGGTGGCACGAAGCTCAGCGCGTCAGGACTGACGAGCGACACCAGGTCGCTCATACTCGCGGTAGCAAGGCCGAGGGCCGCATTCAGGTCCGCGCAAGCCCCGCAGCACGACTGCGCGGAAGCCGCGGGGCACCGCACTGGCGCAATGGCGGGGGTGGACGGCGCAAGGCCCGTTAGCGGACAGACTTGGGGGCTCGCTGGCGCAAGCGGGGAAGCAGAGGGCCCGGCTAGGGCGGTAGGGAGGTGAATCGCGACTAGGAGGGAAACAAGTTGCGTGACCCGAGAAATGAGTGTTTCTCGGGGGGCTATTTTGATCGGGGAGAGTAGTGAGTCGCCAGATAACAGCGCTGCGCGTGATAGAGAGACTTTACGACGCATCTTTTCTTTGAAGGGCCTGCGCTGCCAGTACTTCAAATTAGAAGTATTTGCTCGGGTGCTCTATATGGTCGGGTGCGGGCTTCTAACGAGCTAAGAAAATAGAATTTCCGCGCCTCGTTCAAGCTAATGCTCTCTGAATGATGACTGGAACTATCCGAGAGATTGCTCGTTGACTTCCCTGGTTTCCACAAAGATACTAATCGCCTATCGTGCGAGAAGTAACTGAAGCTCGGTGCTGGGCAGTCGTATACGGGCTAGGGAAACGTGCTGTGGTTTTCAAACCTGAAGCTGAGGGGCGATAGAGTGCCGTTCGGTGAAAGGAGTGATAGCATCACCGAACCGAAGGGACCCACCTAAGTTTGAGCTCAGAAAAAATACTTGAAACTGAACTTGTCAACTTCAAATGTTCACACGGTACATTTCGTTCGAAACTGGCACCGGAGTGTTGAAGAGGACCCCCTCAGCAAACGGGGGTTGATTCCACTGGCTGCTAAGTGAACACTGAGTGTGATAAGATTGTCTGCAAAACCGCACCCCTGCCCAAACGCGAACCACTTGACCCAAATTGACTGAACCCGCTGGCGGCGGAGAAGATTTCGTCGTGAAAAAAGACGGGAAGTTATGCCGAGCCGCATTTGCAGAGTGCACAGAGACTGGCTAACGCGCCTCGTTGGACTTCCCGCGACTGAAATTTCTGCAAATTCGGAAGACGAGTATTGATTGGTGAACGAAGTCCTTGACTGTACTAGGCGGGAAGTGACTCGTTATAGGCTCTGACGAGATTCGAAATGCTTGTATGGTAACTGCGGCACTAAGCTAACACTTTCTAAAGAGCCTATCCATAGCTCGTTAAATCTGGTGCTGCAATCATTCCAAATATATCTCATATCGTCCTGAAATTATTATTTTTAAAATATTATTTATGTGATTTATGCTGTGGTGCAACCTTTTCTAATTTCTCTTTCTGAAGTATAAGAAAATATGGCCTACATATATACTAGGTGATGGCATTCAAATCGAAGTGAAACATCACAAAATGGAGGGAGGTAGCTCCGACTGGATTTGTCATAACATCTGTGCCCTCGGCAATGCTGTGTCAGATCAATAGCCATGTCACTGCCAGGCAGCACTGATCGTGAGTCGAAGCGGCAATGTCGTCAGGCGATTCGCCTTCAACACCGACAAGCCCCCAGTCACCGATCTCGGCGAACCATTAGTTCTTCGCCCTGACATTAGGCCTCATCAGCCAATCAACTGCCAGGATGAACTGCTGTTCACTGTCCCTTCGCCTGCTGCAACCTGCTTGTCGAGTCTGTTACAGAATTCGTTGGGCAATGTCGCCAACCACCCGACAGGAGCGGCTCTACCCATCATCAGACAGAGGCGGCCGAGGCGCGACAGGGATCCGAAGCGCATTCGTACAACAGTTGCACTTGAGCACAGCAGGCTGACTTGTGGGAGAGCTCAAGGAAAATGCACTCGGCAGCACTTATCGGGCGTGTTTATATGTTTGGATTTCAGAAAAAGAATCTGGTAGGTAGCGGGAGTGTACCGTGTTTGTGGGTGGCTGCAAATAAAGATGACGTAAAATTCTCGTGAAATTGCAGTCCATCACACGAACTTCGTACATTATCAGGGGGGCGAATCTGCTCACTGAAGTCACTCAGTTCGTCACAACGTTGGTCTTTTCCTCGTGAGAACAATCTCCTCCTGATCACCTCACAGGCCAGGCGTGGGCAGCCAGATACAAGTGAGCCCAGCACAATTTAAAGCTGATCGAGATTCACACGACACGTACTAGCCGTTCAGTTGTAAACGAGCAGGGCAATATTCTTGTACGCCCATCTCCCTTTCTCCGTGTGCCTCTTTTCCTTCGCCTCTCTCTCAAGGAATACCGTCTGCTTGCGTAGTCGAAACGAGATCGAGACTCGCTGGTTAGGAAGAGGCATCTGACAAAACGAAAGACATCAACCTCCACAATGGCCTCCACGTGGCAATATCGCCCGCAATCAGCGCCCCGCCGCCATCACTCAGCCTCGATACAAGGCCCCACGCTATTGCTTCTCCCCTTCCTCCTCCTCGCCCTCACCTACCTTGATTTTTCCTCCGCGCAAAGCGCGCCTCCTTCCGCCAGTCCCCCTTCCGCCAGCCCGTCTCCGCCTCCCCCCTCACCCCCGCCGTCCTGCCCTTTCAGCGGGCTACAGCCGTCCGCTCCTTCGGTATCACCTGCCCGCTGCCCGGCCGCGGCAAATCTTTCCTGCTGCCCGTCCTGTAACGACCTGAGCGGCGCGCTACAGCTGGTTTCGGCTAACATGAGCGAATTTGTAGCGTTGATAAGCCCCGGCGCTGCAGTGGATCCGAGCCTGGGAGTGTGCAACGGGTTCGAGGGACAGCAGCGGTGCCTGCAGCTGCTCGAGGATCTCAACTGCGGCTCGTCGTGCAACCCAGGTGGGTTCTGAATGTCTGTACATTTTACGTATATTGTGAACGTTATTTCGTATTGAATAAGAGTCTCTTAGCGGGGCTTTACAGCGCATGGGATTCAGTGGTGCCTGCAGCTGCTGGAAGATCTCAACTGCGGCTCGTCGTGCAACCCTGGGTGAGTGCTGAGATGGTAGTAACTTTGGAAATAATCGGAACAAACAAAAGGTAGAATTTGTTGACGACTAATCCTGGTGTCGTGACCAATCGCCATGACACTTGCGTTGCTGAGCAAAGTTTCCGTAAAGGTACGAGCGACGGAAGAAAAACCTATTTCGACGAGAAAAATTGGAACTAGTTACCCGCTAAAATCCTAGTTTCCAGTGGTAACTTCAGCGCAGAAATCTCCGGTGGTCAGCGTACTCGTTAATAGCTGCATCGGCGCGATTCACAGCACTTTAAACATGCATCATTTTACTATTCGCCTGTGCGACTTGCTGCTGCGCAGATTCGGGGGCGTACATCAGCGGCACCAGCATGCGCGTCTGCTCCTCCTTTGCATCGACCATCTTCGACGCGTGCAGTCCCGTGTGGAGTAAGTTTTAATTTGCATATGCGTTCACAGAATACGAACAAATCTTGTCAGTTTCTGATAGTTGAAGTCCTATTTCTTTCCTTATACTATTTCTCTCCCATTTCATGTGGTACTACCGAACCCCATTACTTTAGCCACCACCGCTATCTTACGCTCCCCCTATGTCCCCCTGCCCACACTCTCCCACTCGATTCCCCCCCTCTCCCAACCCTTCTCCTTCCTCCCACCAGTGGACACCCTTCAGCTAACCACAATCTTCCCCGACGCCTCCTCCCTCCTCGCGTCCTTCGCCGGCAATGTAACCCAGCTCCTGGGCTCAAGTGTTACCGCTTTCTCCGCCACCCCCTCTCCCCCATCCCCCCATCCCCTCCCCTCCCCTCCCCCCCTTTCACAGTGCACAACGTGTCCCTCTCTGCGCTCTTCCCCGACGCCCCCTCCCTCCTCGCATCCTTCGCCGGCAATGTAACGAAACTCATGGGATCCATGGTTACCACTTTCGCCATCGACGATTCGTCCACCTGTTTCAACGGCACTGGCGTCTACCCGCAATACACGGCCTGCTGCGACCCCTACTCCACCCTCCCCTCCTGCCCAGCAGCCTCTCTAGACCCTTCTAAGTACCAGTCCGTAGTTAATCGCTCCATAGACAGCAATCGCTGCATGGGATTGGCTTCTCCGCCGCCCCCGCTATCTTCCCCGCCTCCTTCCCTTGCGCCTGCTTCCGCCCCCGCTTCCGCCCCCGCGTCCCTCCCCACCTCTCCACCCTCATCCCCCCCCTCCCCCGCTTCCTACCCCATCTGCCCTTTCACGGGTAACTTTCCCTCCGTCCCTGCGCTTTTTTCGCCTGCCCGCTGCCCGGCCGCCGCGAACCTTTCCTGCTGCCCGGCCTGTAGCGATCTCAACGGCGCGCTGCAGCTAGCATCCGCTAACATGAGCGACTTTGTATCGAGGATAAGCCCTGGGGCTACAGTGGATCCGAGCCGGGGGGTGTGCAACGGGTTCGAGGGCCAGCAGCGGTGCCTGCAGCTGCTGGAAGATCTCAACTGCGGCTCGTCGTGCAACCCAGGTGGGTGGTGTAGAACTGTAAAATTGCATATATATATATATATATAAATATACATTGCTCCCGTTATATCATATGAACGATATATTCGTAAACGATCATATTTATCTCTCCTGTTCACTCTTATCCTCTCACTTTCTTGCCTGGGCTTGTGATTTGCTTTGCAGATTCTGGTGCTTACATAAGTGGAACCACCATGCGCGTGTGCCCTGCTTTTGCTGACGTCATCTTCAGCGCATGCAGCCCTGTCTGGAGTAAGTGTAACGAGCATCTGTTACTTCTGCTGACGGAAAGAAGCCCTCTGCTTAGAAGCTCGTGCTCTTACCTCCTGTTTTGTCAACTAAACTAATGTTTTATCCCATACAAACGCGCTCTCTAGCTTCCCATCCTTTCCCACTTCTCCCCCCGCCTCCCCCGTTTCCTTCCCCTCCACACTCCTGTCCCTAATCACTATTTTCCTCTCCCCTACTTCCCTCCCCTGCTTCCCCCTCCTCTCTCCTCCATCCCCTCCCCTCCCCTCCCCTCCCCTCCCCCCCTTTCACAGTGTATAACGTGTCCCTTTCCCAGCTCTTCCCCGACGCCTCCTCCCTCCTCGCGTCGTTCGCCGGCAATGTAACCCAGCTCCTGGGGTCAAGCGTTACCACTTTCGCCATCGACAACTCCTCCGCCTGTTTCAACGGCACTGGCATCTACCCGCAATACACCGCCTGCTGCGACCCCCTCGCCACCCCCTCCACCTGCCCCGCCACCGCTCTAGACCCCTCCAGATTCCCTTCTGAGTTGATGAATCGTACCATTGACTCTCAGACTTGCATGGGCTTCCCCCCTCCTCCTCCTCCCGCTGCTCCCTCCGCTGCTTCCCCCTCTACTGCTCCCCCCTCAGCCGCGTCCCCCTCCGCGCCCCCCTCCGCCGCTTCCCCCTCCGCTCCCGCCTCCGCCTCCTCCCCCCCTTCCGCCCCAGCACCCGCCTCGACTTCCGCACCCCCTCCCCCGACAGTTACGACCTTCCCCAAGTGCCCCTTCACCAACAACAGCCCGTACCCGCCCAACAGCGCGATGCCGCGCTGCCCTGCTGCGGCGAACCTTTCGTGCTGCACGGCGTGCCAGGACCTAGACGCGGCTTTAAAGCTCGTCTCCACGAAGCTGGATGATGTGGTGAAGCGCGTTGGCCCCGCGAATTCCGCGGATCCCAGCCTCAAGGTGAGCTTGGAGACACTCGGCTGAAATGTTCCTTTGTTCCGAAACGTTGGGTAGAGATGTGGGTCAGGAGAGGTCGTGGGTTCGGGAAACGGGAGTCCTGCTGCTGCCGCTGCTGCTGCTGCTGCTGCTGCTGCGGCGAACATCTCCTGCTGCACGGCGTGCCAGGACCTAGACACAGCTTTACAGCTCGTCAGCACGAAGCTGGATGATGTGGTGAAGCGAGTTGGCCCCGCGAATTCCAAGGATCCCAGCCTCAAGGTGGATTGGGAGACATTGGGTTCGGTTGTGGTCGGTACTGAGAGGTTCGATGGGAGTGTGATAGGTTGAGAGTGTGGGTCAAGAGAGACTGAGCTAGGGGTCGTTTTGAGTAGACTTAAAACGAAGTTCCTGGCTGGTGTTGTGAGCCAGGGGAATGGGAGTCCTGCTGCTGCCTCGAGCCTCACCTGGTTTCGCCTCACTGATTTCGTTCTCCCGTTACCCGCCTGTTTCAGCTGTGCGATCTCTACAGTGATCTCAAGTGCGAGCAATCAGTCGAGGACATGGTCTGCGCGCTGACGTGTAACCCAGGTGCGTTACAGGAAACTGTATCACTGCAATTTGGAAATCTATCCTAGATTTTATGTCAATATGCATCATGCTATAGTTGATGGTCTTCTTCTCTTTTTGTGCTTGATCTTGTTGGTTTTTAAATGTATAACCATCCTTGCTCTCCTTCTCGTCGTTAAGCGTCGAGGGTTTTTCTTTTTCTTTTCTTTTTTGTGCCACTAATCATCACTTCTTCTACCTTGGTTTTTGTGCAGATGCGGGCCGGTATGTGTCTGTGTCATCCGGTGCTGTCTCAATGGCTGTGTGCCCTAGCTACGCCTCATTCGCCTATGCTGTGTGCAAGGGAACTACAGGTATGATCCCTCAGTGCGTGTGTGTGTGTGTGTGTGTGTGTGTGTGTGTGTGTGTGTGTGTGTGTGTGTGTGTGTGTGTGTGTGTGTGTGTGTGTGTGTGTGTGTGTGTGTGTGTGTGTGTGTGTGCGCGTGCATACTTTTTCTTGCGGGTTCGTGTGCACGTGAGTGAGCTTCGGAGCGCGACTGTCTGCATGCATGTGCGCACATTTGTGTGCATTAGACTACACTCACACTTACCTCCCTATCACCCCCCTGTCCCCTTGTGCAGTTGGCAACATGACTATTGAGTCAGCCTTTCCGGATGCATCTATATTCCTGAGCTCAGTCGTCAGCAGCATTTTAGGCGTGGCCCTGGGCTATGGCACCTTCACCATCACTGTGCAAGAGGTACAGTCTTCTTTTTAACACACATTACAGATGTGCACACATACATGCACATGCACACTCGTGCACACACAGACAGCCACACAGCCAGTTGGTTTTTGGGAACTCTAAAAATCCAACTCCACATACGGACAGCCAGATGTGCTGCTTCTTCCTTCTTTAGCCGTATTACATCCACTATGCCCTCATGGCTCTCCTCCCCTCCCCTCCCCTCCCCTCCACTCCCCTCCCCTCCCCTCCCCTCCCCTCCCCTCCCCTCCCCTCCCCTCCCCTCCCCTCCCCTCCCTTCCCCTCCCCTCCCCTCCCCTCACTCCTCCACGAACCCCAACCCCACCAGACCTCCTGCTTCAACGGTTCCCCCCTGGTTCCAACCACCCCTGCCTGTTGCGACCCCCTCTCCCTCCCCTCCTCCTGCCCCCAAGGCTCCATCGACCCCACCCAGTACCCCGACATCATCGGCCGACCCATCAACTCCTCTCTCTGCCTCTCCGCCCCTCCTCTCTCCCCTCCTCCTGCCCCTGCTTCCGCCTCCTCCCCCTCTCCTCCCTCTGCTCCTGCCCCTGCTTCAACCACCTCCCCGTCTCTCTCTCCTGCTACTCCCTCTCCTCCCTCATCCACCTCTGGCGCCCTGGCTGGTTCGGATAGCACCGGAGCCAAGCCTCCCCCTCCTCCCGCTTTTAAGGGTGCCGCTGCCTCGTCACCTGCTGCTGCGGCGGCAGCAGTGCTGGCGGCTGCTTTGCTAGCTATAGCTGCAGCAGTCTTGTGAGGGGTTTGAGGTTTATATCCTCGCTGTAGTATTGTGAGTACTGACTAAGAAGGCAACTTTAGTGGGTGACTCTAGTGGTTTGCGGAGGCCTCCGTTTAGGGGGGTTGGGCCTTGGTCTTCGTCCAGAATGCATGGCCCTGCGAGGCCTGGTGCATGGCTTTAGGGGGGTGTAGCTGTGCCTAGCCTTACACAGGTGTGGCCGGTGGGCTGACGTAGGTTGTGGGCTGAGGGTAAGGGTGTGATGTGAATGTATGCACTAGTTGTAGGTGGTATCTCGGCAGGTAGAGCGTGGTTCGTGGCAGGTTCTGGAAACGTATACCTTTCAGCTCTCGTCCGTGTGAGAATGACATAGACTGATGTACTAACGGCCATAGTTTGTTCTTGTTGGAAATATCTCAAGGACTTGAGCGTTTCTGAAGTGTAACAGGAAAGTTGTAACGGGTACGCGAGTCAACGGAGGTTACACGAGGGGACGGACAAAGAACACGAAAGCACTCGAAGGGTCGCAACCGGAGGTTGCGACTGACGGTTACAACTGCAAGGATGGTAACAGAACCATCAATTGAGTCGCTGTGCGACTCGATAAACCGCTCTTTTAACTATATTCTACAACTGCTTTACTTTCCTACTTTCTATATATTGCTGTATGCTTGTTTCTTTTAATCAATCACTTGTTCTCACATACTAGTACAAGGGTTCAACTACTCAACTTCCGCTGCACTACTCAAGTCTCCTTTTACAACTGGGACTTCGTCTCTGGAAAGATCCTAAGGGCCTTTCTCAGCCCAACATGGTATGAGAGTTGGTCAGAGACCAAACTCCGAGCAACTACGCTCTATCTACAATCAGCACACCAACGACTTCATTGATTACAAGTCATGGACAGCAAGGGCAAGAAAACCTCTACGGGCTCACCCAGTGCCCAAGACACTCAACCCGGCAACTATGGACTGCACCCAAACCGAGACCGGCGCTGCTCAAGAAACAACAGGAAGAGCACCAGGAATGGTGACCCCATTACCCTCTTCAAGCGTCGACCCGAACCTTATGGAAATGTTCTTCAGCTTCATGTCGCACTTCGACTAGCAGCAGCAGATAAGGACACCTGCGCATTCATTACAGAGCAACGGAGGAAACATGGGATTAGCGCCGATGAGCCTCGACAACTCATCGTTCGGGCGACACAATCAAGCGCCTACCTTTGCGCCTTATCACTCTTCACCGGGGATGTTCGAGTTCATGCCGCCCCTTGCCCAACCAATAGCAGCTGCATCACAACAGACACCAAACGAGATACTGAGTCTCCAGGCACAGTTTTCACACGTGATCAAACTGCATACATCCTCACCGTTCAACAGACACGACTTCTTTACCTGGAGCTTTGAGTTCGAGCTGCTGATGGAGGCTGCGCACCTCTGGGGATACTTCAACGGGTCCCTGCCATTCCCAAGCAATGGCACTGCAAAAGAGCAAGAAATCTTCACGTACAGTATCAGTCACTGCTAGCATACACAATTCTCCTGCGGAACCTGTCACCACAAGAACAGCAAAGCATCAGAACGTATCGGAGCTATGGAAACTCCGCGGAACTCGCATGGCATCACCTCAAGTGTCTCTATCAAGCAAACGACAGCGTGACACAAAGCAGACTCATGCAGCAGCTGACAACAATACAGATGAAGACCGGGGAAAAGGCGATGCAGTATATGAGTCGCTGCCAAACACTCCGCGACCGCCTGCTTCGGTGCGGAGGAACAATCACTGAAAAAAGCTTCGTGACGCTTGTCCTCGCTGGGCTCGGGCCAGAATGGAGAACCACCCGCTCGCTCCTTCGCGCCCACGGACGAATCTCGGAGATGCACCTCTGCGCCGAGCTCCATGCTGAACAACAGGAGATGGACCTGTTCGAAGAAAGGCAACCAAGGAAATAGCAACCATTAGTCTTCTACACTCAACGAAGGAACGACAACAACTACAACCGACGCGGCAAACAAGATCAACGCGACAACAGAGGACTCACCATTGTGCCGCCGTTCTGCCACAACTGCCAAACATTCGGACACTCCAAAGTCAACTGCACACGTCCCCGAGCTTATCGTCCAGTAGACCCACAAGTCGCTTCCACTCAAGAAAGCCCGCCGAGGCGTTCTTCCACATCTGCACAAGGTACACCGAACATCAGCAATTGCATGGTACACATCGACAACTGCGCACCCGGATCACCACCCACTTACGCTCCAGATGAAGAAGAACTGTTGCCGCCGCGATCACAAGGACTTCAGGTCAACCCAACATACGCTGCAGTTGCCAACGCCGAACCCACCGGGCGAAACACTTGGTTCTTGGACAACTGTTGCGGCCAACATATGTGTTCTTCCGGGCGCTTCGTGCAACGAGAACGACGTCTCAGCCGAGATGTCATCATCACCGTCGCCAACAACGAGAACCTGAAAACAAACAGACAAGGAGTGGTTCAGTTACAGTCCATGGAGACAAACGTTATACTGCAACTCAACAAAGTTCTAATCGTCGACAATTTGGGATACAACTTACTCAGCGTCAGCCAGTTAATGGCAAAAGGGATTCACCTGGAGTGCGACTCGGACTCCAATGAATTTCGCCTTTACCACGGGAAGGGCGGTCTCTTCATCGGTCGCGCTCTCCTGAAGTCAGGCGTCTTCGTGTTGGATTTCGTCCCCGACCGCGGTACTGCCGACAGCGATGGCATCGTGTCGTTCGCCGCCAGGACGCACCTGCCGGATCTTGACCCCGACTTCACCCCAGATGGATTCTCGTACTCCAACACCATACGTGCAGCAGAGAGAACACGAGTGTTAGCAGTCATCAGATAAGAAAGACGAGTACCAGCAAGCGTCCCTTCCCAAACATCACCTGCAGTAGCAGCAGCAGGACCCAGCCGAGTACCATCACCAGCGATCCGAGGACCGCCAACCGAAGCAGATCAACTTATGCCCATCACACGAGAAGTCTGCCGAAGTCCCGCCACGGTCGTCGCGTTCTTCTCCAACACCGACATGTACCAACGCTTGCCCGGCCATCGCGCCTCCGACGACATCTGGCACCAACGCCTTGGGCATCCTGCAAACAGCACGGTACTACAAACCATCCAAGCCGAAGTGTTAGAACGAAACGCTCTTCTTACAACAAGCGGCCAAGACCTTCGACGACCTCGCGCACGGTGCTTCACGTGCCCCGAAGCAGAGCTTCCCCACCAACCTTTTCCATCACATCACAATCCAAGTGCACCTGCATACGCACCGATGGAAAAAGTTTACAGCGACATCTTAAACATGCCTCGAGACGACACTGAAGCCGACTTCAACTATGTCATCACGTTCATCGATGCAGCAACAAGATATGTTTGGCATTACAACCTCAAGACGCGAGATCAAGCTTTCAAAGCCTTCACGACGTGGCTCCCCATCGCTGAACGAGAATCAGGAACTAAGCTCAAGAGCTTCCAGTCAGACGGCGCACTGGAATACCAGTCACAACGATTCAGGACCTACTTGGCAGAAAGAGGAATCAGACGCCTGGTGTCTCTGCCCTACGCTCACTAGCAGCAGGGGGTCGCAGAAAGAATGAACCGGACCTTGCAGACGACGATGCGGAAGCTGCTCCTGGGGATGAGACTGCCCAATACACTGTGGCCAGACGCGATGACACATGCAGTCCACCTGCACAATTTGTTGTCCTCGTCCTCGCTTCCCAACAACGCATCACCGCACCTGCTGTGGACAAGAAAAAGGGGCAGCACAAAATTACTTCGGGTTTTCGGCTGCATGGTACAGTACAGACCCCACACAGCCCGAGCAGGACGCTTCACTCAACGAGCACGGTGGGGACTACACCTCGGCATCGCAAAACATTTTCAAGCATGGAAAATCCTCGACATACAAGACAAAAATACCGTGGCATCACGTGATGTGATCTTCTACGAACGACTGACGCTGCAGCATTACCTGGACAACGTCGCCAGCACAGACGACCCCACGGACGGCTTTGCGGGCCTTCGCTCCTTTGCCGACCGTGCTGCCGAGGCTGACGTAGTAGAAGAAGACGTACCTGGAGCTTCGGAAGCTGCCGGACCACTCGCTTACTGTTCCGTGCCTGTTCCACTCGACGAAGACAATCCTCTCAATAGCAACAACCTCAACACCCTTTACCACTTCGCTGACCAAGGTTATGTTACACCTCACCCGGTCGACACGAATGTCTCAGAACGCATCGGCCCAAACTTCTTACCTGATCCAGAAGATGGTGACGAAGCAGCCTATTCCGGGAATGAAAATTCCCCTTGACACACACCCACGGGACTGCAGATACTCGGCCTATGGGTCTCCGTCCAGCAACCGCCGCCGCCATCTCCGCGCGAGCCAACGACTCTGTCGCAGGCTCTGGGGGGGGAACATAAGGCGAAATGGAAGGAGGCAATGGAAAAGGAACTGAAAGCTCTGCAAGACCGAAATACATGGAAGCTGGTACCTGCAACGAACATCAACGGGAAGAACGTACTCTGGGGAAAGTGGGTGTACCGCATCAAGACCAATGCGGACGGCTCCATCGAACGATTCAAGGCTCGCTGGGTCGTACGAGGGTTCGATCAACGATACGGAACCGACTATACAGAAACATTCGCCCCAGTCTCCCGTCACACCTCCTTGCGCATTCTACTCGCCGTCGCGGCCACGAAGAAACTACCCCTGCGCCAGATCGACGTCGCAAACGCCTTCCTGTACGCACCTGTGGACGCCAAGATCTTCGTCGAGCAGCCCCACGGATTCATCGACGACCCCACAAAAGTATGCCAGCTGATAAAATCCCTCTACGGGATCAAGCAAGCTCTGCGGCTCTGGCAGCAGCATCTTCACAATCGCCTCGTCAAAATCGGGTTCCTACAGCTGCCGCACGACCAAGGCATGTACCGACTTCAGAAGGAAAGGGACTTTATCCTACTCATCGTCTACGTCGACGACCTGCTCTACATCGGCTCTACTACCGACATCGCCACCTGGTTCGAAGGGGAGCTGAGAAGTGACTTGACACTCACGGTGTCTAACACCGTGACCCAGTACCTGGGTCTGAACGTCGTCGAAGACAACTCGGCATTCTACCTATACGCTGGAAAATACGCAGGCGTTGTCGCGAAGAAATTCGGACTAACACCGACTACAGTCACGACTCCCTACCGCTATGGGAACAACAACGACACCTCCGCAAAACTCGACGCGAAGCAAATCCAGGAGTATCAGCAGAAGCTCGGCTGCCTACTATTCGCAGCAGTAACCTGCCGACCGGACCTATCTTACAGCGCGAGCCAGCTGGCGACACATCTGAAGCAGCCGGAACAAGAAGATCTCGAAGAATTAAATCGGGCACTACTCTACTTTGTCTCTACGCCGACGACCGGACTTACCTACAGTAAAGCAACGACATCGTCCGTACAACTGCTCGGATACGTCGACACCGACCACGCGGGAGACGGGGGAAAATCGACGATCAAGGACGGGCTACATCTACCGACTAGAGCCTATCGGGACTAACTCCTGGCAGTCGAGCAAGCAGGAACTAATCGCACTATCTTCGGCTGAAGCAGAATATATCGCCCTCTGCACTGCGACCAAGGAAGGACTTTACCTGCGAGAGTTGCTCGAGGAAGCAAAGATTGCAACCGTGCCCTTCTTCTCACTCTTCTGCGACAACCAATCCGCGATCAAAATCGCGAACAAGGACGGTTTCGCCAACCGAACCAAACACATCGCCCTGCGGTATTTCTTCGTCAAGGATGAAATCGCGAAGGGGAGACTTCAACTCAGTTACTGCCCCACGACAGAAATGGCTGCAGACTATCTGACGAAGAAACTAGCGAAAGCAAAGTTCGACTACTGCATGCTACTGACCGGGCAGATAAACGTCGCCGAATCTGGACACGTCAGCACTCATGAAATGAAGGGGAGTGTTGGAAATATCTCAAGGACTTAAGCGTTTCTGAAGTGTAACTTTACACTCGAGGAAAGTTGTAACGGGTACGCGAGTCAACGGAGGTTACACGAGGGGACGGACAAAGAACACGAAAGGACTCGAAGGGTCACAACCGGAGGTTGCGATTGACCGTTACAACTGCAAGGATGGTAACAAAACCGTCAATCGAGTCGCTGTGCGACTCGATAAACCGCTCTTTTAACTGTATTCTACAACTGCTTTACTTTCCTACTTTCTATATATTGTTGTATGCTTGTTTCTTTTAATCAATCACTTGTTCTCACATACTAGTACAAGGGTTCAACTACTCAACTTCCGCTGCACTACTCAAGTCTCCTTTTACAACTGGGACTTCGTCTCTGGAAAGATCCTAAGGGCCTTTCTCAGCCCAACAGTTCTCAAGCTGCTTGAAGCAGCAATGAAGTCAACAGCTTTGCTTGCTTGCCCAATTCAAAATCTTTCGGCAACACAGCGTAGCGTCATAAAACAGGGTTATTTCCTCTCTTGCAATTTCAGGAAGGAAAAGCAAAAGACAATCAAGTACCACTAGCTATCGCATACACAACTAGAATCTCCTTATCCAAAAGTTTGAGTGAAAGTCAGAGCTAGCCTAACATAGCAGCAGCGGACCGGGTGTTGGCAGCAGCGCCATAGCAGCACAGGTATGAAAGGAAATTGGGGGCATGTGGTAAGCAGCAGATGCAGGAGGGGAGTGAGCAGACCAGTGCCTGGGAGGGCTGGCTATAGCAGCACAGCAGGTGTGAGCAGCAGCGCTATAGCTTGCTTGCAGGAGGAGGGGGGGAGTGAGCAGAGCAGACCTGTGTTTGTGAGGGCCAGCTATAGCAGCACAGCAGGCGCCAGCGGCAGGGCCATAGCAGCGCAAGTCACGCAGGAGAGGAGACGTGAGGTAAGGAGACGCAGGAGGGGAGGCAGACTTCCTTGCAGGAGGGGAGGCAGACTTGCTTGCAGGAGGGGAGTGAGCCGACCAGAGTGTGGGAAGGCCAGCTATAGCAGCACAGCAGGTGCCAGCAGTAGGGCCACAGCAGCGTAAGTCAAGCAGAAGAGAAGAGGCGTGAGGTAAGCAGATGCAGGAGGGGAGGCAGGCTTGCTTTCAGGAGGAGGGGAGGGAGCGGGAGGGGAGGGGGGAGAGGGAGGCGAGTTTAAGAGGGAGGGAAGGGGAGGGGCAGTGGCAGTAGGTGTGCCAGAGGGGACTGGAACAGGGGGGGCAGGTGGAGCAGGAAGGGCGGGAGGCAAGGGGGTTAGGTCAACGAGGGGAGAAGAAGCAGGAGCAGGGGTCGACTCAGGTGAAAACTCAGGAGAGGAGGCGGGAGTAGGCGCAGGGGGGGGTGTTGGTGCAGGGGCCGGGGCGGGCGGGGGGCGGGTTCCAGCCTGGCAGGAAGCGGAGTTGACAGGGCGGTTGATGAAGGGGCGGTACTTGGTGGTGTTGATGGCACCGGCAGGGCAGGTGGGGGGGACGGCAAGAGGGTCGCAGCACGCAATGTAGGGCGGGGTTACCGTTGTGCCAGCAAAACAGTTGGTCTGGAGGGATGGGAGGGACAGAGGGAGGGGAAGAAATATGGCTTTTCGGTTGATGAAGGGGCGGTACTGGTGGTGTTGATGGCTGGGGGGGACTGCAAGAGTGTCGCAGCAGGCAATGTAGGCCGTAGTCACGGTGGTGCCTGTGAAACAATTGGTCTGGAGGGATGGGGAATGGGGTAATGGCGGAATGGAAAGTAGCTACTGCCTGGGTTCTCAAGGCTAGGCGCTCTCTTTTGCATGTTGGCTCACTGAGACTTAAGTAGTGCCTGCACACTCACACCTTGCCAATGCTGACCTTGAATTTCCTCACTCCCAGCACCGCATTCCTCACTCCCAGCACCGCAATCCTCACTCCCTGCACCGCATTCCTCACTCCCAATGATCCCCAATGCCCGCCACCATCGACTCTTGCATGCTAGGTGATCGCCACCTGCCACAGAAAGCCACACAATCCCCTTGCCGGTCCTTGCTGATTGTGACCTTGAAATTCCTCACTCCCAGCACCTTCACATGCTGACCTTCAAATGATGTTGCCCGCCACCAAAAGGGCCTTTACATGCTGACGTGTGGTGCGTATTTAATTAAGTGACGCCCACCCACCTTGCCGATCTTAGCCTTTAAATTCCTCACTACCAGCACCTTCACAATGTTGCCCGCCACCAGGGACATGAGTCCTGGCACATAGATGTTGGTGCTCATGTTGGTACTCCGTAGGTATGGTTCTCAAGCATCGTGCATGTTGGCTTTCTGGCACGTGCCAATTATTGGCATGCTCGTGCATGTTGGCTCACTGAGATGAGACTTGCCAAGCAGCGCCCACTCACCTTGCCAATGGTGGCCTTGAAATTCTTCACTCCCAGCACTGTCCCAAGGTTGCCCGCGTGAGGAGTCTGTTTTTGAGGCGCCTCAAAAACACACTCCCAGCACCTTCCCAAGGTTGCCCGCCACCATAAGGGCCTTACATGCTGATTTGTGGTGCGCCTATAAACAAGTATTGCCCACTCACCTTGCCGATCGTGGCCTTGAAGTTCTTCACTCCCAGCAACTTCACAATGCTGCTGGCTACCATCGAGACGCAAGGTGCACCAGAGGGGGTACAACCGTCTAAGGCAGACCAATGAGCAACACAACATGCCCACCTTGCCAATGGTGGCCTTGAGGTTCTTCTCTCCCAGCACCCTCACAATGTTGCCCGCTGCCTTGTGCATACGACCAGGTACTCAGTTGGTATGGTGCTCACTCATCTTCAAGCAACTCCAACTCACCTTGCCCATGGTGGCCTTGAAGTTCTTCACTCACAGCACCTTCACGATGTTGCCCGCTAGCATCGAGATGGAAGGTGCACCAAAGGTGGCACAATCGTCTGAGAAATACCAATGCGCAACCCAACATGCTCACCTTGCCAATGCTAGCCTTAAAGTTGTTCACTCCCAGCACCTTCACAATGTTGCCCGCGAGCATCGAGATGGAAGGTGCACCAAAGGTGGCACAATTGTCTGAGAAATACCAATGCGCAACCCAACATGCTCACCTTGCCAATGCTAGCCTTAAAGTTGTTCACTCCCAGCACCTTCACAATGTTTCCCGCCACCATCGAGATAAAATTGGCCGCATCTGGAATGAAGGTCGTCAGGCTAATGCCTTCGCCCACTGGAGAGGCAAGAGGGAGAGAGGGAGAGAGGGAGAGAGAGAGGGAGAGAGAGAATGCATGCTTGTACCGCTCGCCCCACTTGCCTAGCTCTGTACCGAGGATCTCCATGAATATGAAGGACCGCTTGGGAGAGAGGAAGAGAGGGAGAGCGGAAAAGAGGGAGAGAGGAAGAGGGAGAGAAGAGAAGGGCGCACAAACACAATGTATAAGATACTTTCCACCCAAAACAAGTTCCTTTAGCAGCATCAGCAGCATCAGGAATGAAGGTCGTTAGGCTCAGACCGTCGGCCACTGGAGTGATGAGAGGGGAGTGAGAGAGAGGGAGGGTTACCTACATTGCATGCCTAGCGTGTACCCAAGTTTCAGCCATCTAAGGACCGCGTGACTGGAAGAGAGGAATGATAATGAGAGGAATTTCTGGTCTGCTTGGCTAGGCAGGCAGGCTCGACCAACCGGGCATAAGGTTTGTTTTGAGACGTCTCAAACAAACCTTTTGAGACGTCTCGAAAGAGAGGAATGAGAATGAGAGGATTGTCTGGTCTGCTTGGCAATCCTCTCATTGTCATTCCGGCGCGTCAACGAGCCGGGCCAAGCCAAGCAGACCTCTACCAGAGCTCTGTCAGGAATGACAATGAGAGGAACTTCTGGTCTGCTTGGCTAGGCAGGCAGGCTCAACCAACCGGGAAAGCTCAAGCAAAGCAGGCCAGACCACGACGCCTACCTGACAGACCCCTAGCAGCTGACAACCATAAACACCAAGGTTGGTAGGCAGACCAGACAGGCTTAAGCAGACCACACAGGCTTAAGCAGACCAGACCACAACGCGTATCTGACAGACCCCTGGCAGCTGCTGAACTCTTTGTTCGCAAACCAACGGCAGAGGCAGCAGCACCGGTGGTCTAGATGTATTGGCGATAAGACCAGGTGTGAGTGACGTACCTGAGAGCCCCTGGAAGCTTTTGAACACGTTGTCAGCAAAGGCACGGCACACAGTCACCGAAGGCAGGGCACACAGTCACCGAAGGCAGGGCACACAGTCACCGAAGGCAGGGCACACAGTCACCGAAGGCACGGCACACAGTCACCGAAGGCAGGGCACACAGTCACCGAAGGCACGGCACACAGTCACCGAAGGCAGGGCACACAGTCACCGAAGGCACGGCACACAGTCACCGAAGGCACGGCACACAGTCACCGAAGGCACGGCACACAGTCACCGAAGGCACGGCACACAGTCATCGAAGGTGATTGTGACTGGTGGGTGGTGGGTGGTGGGTGGTGGGTGGTGGGTGGTGTGTGGTGTGTGGTGTGTGGTGGGTGGTGGGTGGTGGGTGGTGTGTGGTGTGTGGTGGGTGGTGTGTGGTGGGTGGTGGGTGGTGGGTGGTGGGTGGTGTGTGGTGTGTGGTGGGTGGTGGGTGGTGTGTGGTGTGTGGTGTGTGGTGTGTGGTGGGTGGTGTGTGGTGGGTGGTGGGTGGTGTGTGGTGTGTGGTGTGTGGTGTGTGGTGTGTGGTGTGTGGTGGGTGGTGGGCGGTGTGTGGTGGGTGGTGGGTGGTGTGTGGTGTGTGGTGTGTGGTGTGTGGTGGGTGGTGGGTGGTGGGTGGTGTGTGGTGGGTGGTGGGTGGTGGGTGGTGTGTGGTGGGTGGTATGTGGTGTGTGGTGTGTGGTGGGTGGTGGGTGGTGTGTGGTGTGTGGTGGGTGGTGTGTGGTGTGTGGTGGGTGGTGGGTGGTGTGTGGTGTGTGGTGGGTGGTGGGTGGTGTGTGGTGTGTGGTGGGTGGTGGGTGGTGGTGGTGTGTGGTGTGTGGTGTGTGGTGTGTGGTGGGTGGTGGGCGGTGTGTGGTGGGTGGTGGGTGGTGGGTGGTGGGTGGTGGGTGGTGAGTGGTGGGTGGTAGGTGGTGTGTGGTGGGTGGTATGTGGTGTGTGGTGTGTGCTGGGTGGTGGGTGGTGGGTGGTGGGTGGTGTGTGGTGGGTGGTGTGTGGTGTGTGGTGGGTGGTGGGTGGTGGGTGGTGGGTGGTGGGTGGTGGGTGGTGGGTGGTAGGTGGTGTGTGGTGGGTGGTATGTGGTGTGTGGTGTGTGGTGGGTGGTGGGTGGTGGGTGGTGGGTGGTGTGTGGTGGGTGGTGTGTGGTGTGTGGTGGGTGGTGGGTGGTGGGTGGTGGGTGGTGGGTGGTGTGTGGTGGGTGGTGGGTGGTGGGTGGTGTGTGGTGGGTGGTGTGTGGTGGGTGGTGGGTGGTGGGTGGTGTGTGGTGTGTGGTGTGTGGTGTGTGGTGGGTGGTGGGTGGTGGGCGGTGTGTGGTGGGTGGTGGGCGGTGTGTGGTGTGTGGTGTGTGGTGTGTGGTGGGTGGTGGGTGGTGTGTGGTGTGTGGTGGGTGGTGGGTGGTGTGTGGTGGGTGGTGGGTGGTGGGTGGTGGGTGGTGTGTGGTGTGTGGTGTGTGGTGGGTGGTGTGTGGTGTGTGGTGTGTGGTGTGTGGTGGGTGGTGTGTGGTGGGTGGTGGGTGGTGTGTGGTGTGTGGTGTGTGGTGTGTGGTGTGTGGTGGGTGGTGGGCGGTGTGTGGTGGGTGGTGGGTGGTGTGTGGTGTGTGGTGTGTGGTGTGTGGTGGGTGGTGGGTGGTGGGTGGTGTGTGGTGGGTGGTGGGTGGTGGGTGGTGTGTGGTGGGTGGTTGTGGTGTGTGGTGGTGGTGGGTGGTGTGGTGGTGTGGTGGGTGGTGTGTGGTGTGTGGTGGGTGGTGGGTGGTGTGTGGTGTGTGGTGGGTGGTGGGTGGTGTGTGGTGTGTGGTGGGTGGTGGGTGGTGGGTGGTGTGTGGTGTGTGGTGTGTGGTGTGTGGTGGGTGGTGGGCGGTGTGTGGTGGGTGGTGGGTGGTGGGTGGTGGGTGGTGGGTGGTGGGTGGTAGGTGGTGTGTGGTGGGTGGTATGTGGTGTGTGGTGTGTGGTGGGTGGTGGGTGGTGGGTGGTGGGTGGTGTGTGGTGGGTGGTGTGTGGTGTGTGGTGGGTGGTGGGTGGTGGGTGGTGGGTGGTGGGTGGTGTGTGGTGGGTGGTGGGTGGTGGGTGGTGTGTGGTGGGTGGTGTGTGGTGGGTGGTGGGTGGTGGGTGGTGTGTGGTGTGTGGTGTGTGGTGTGTGGTGGGTGGTGGGTGGTGGGCGGTGTGTGGTGGGTGGTGGGCGGTGTGTGGTGTGTGGTGTGTGGTGTGTGGTGTGTGGTGTGTGGTGGGTGGTGGGTGGTGGGTGGTGTGTGGTGTGTGGTGGGTGGTGGGTGGTATGTGGTGTGTGGTGTGTGGTGTGTGGTGGGTGGTGGGCGGTGTGTGGTGGGTGGTGTGTGGTGTGTGGTGTGTGGTGTGTGGTGGGTGGTGTGTGGTGTGTGGTGGGTGGTGGGTGGTGGGTGGTGTGTGGTGTGTGGTGTGTGGTGTGTGGTGGGTGGTGGGCGGTGTGTGGTGGGTGGTGGGCGGTGTGTGGTGTGTGGTGTGTGGTGTGTGGTGTGTGGTGTGTGGTGTGTGGTGGGTGGTGGGTGGTGGGTGGTGTGTGGTGTGTGGTGGGTGGTGGGTGGTATGTGGTGTGTGGTGTGTGGTGTGTGGTGGGTGGTAGGCGGTGTGTGGTGGGTGGTGTGTGGTGTGTGGTGTGTGGTGGGTGGTGGGTGGTGTGTGGTGTGTGGTGGGTGGTGGGTGGTGTGTGGTGTGTGGTGTGTGGTGTGTGGTGGGTGGTGGGTGGTGTGTGGTGTGTGGTGTGTGGTGTGTGGTGTGTGGTGGGTGGTGGGCGGTGTGTGGTGGGTGGTGGGTGGTGTGTGGTGTGTGGTGTGTGGTGGGTGGTGGGTGGTGGGTGGTGTGTGGTGGGTGGTGGGTGGTGGGTGGTGTGTGGTGGGTGGTATGTGGTGTGTGGTGTGTGGTGGGTGGTGGGTGGTGTGTGGTGTGTGGTGGGTGGTGTGTGGTGTGTGGTGGGTGGTGGGTGGTGTGTGGTGTGTGGTGGGTGGTGGGTGGTGTGTGGTGTGTGGTGGGTGGTGTGTGGTGGGTGGTGGGTGGTGTGTGGTGTGTGGTGTGTGGTGTGTGGTGGGTGGTGGGTGGTGTGTGGTGGGTGGTGGGTGGTGTGTGGTGTGTGGTGTGTGGTGGGTGGTGGGTGGTGGGTGGTGTGTGGTGGGTGGTGGGTGGTGGGTGGTGTGTGGTGTGTGGTGGGTGGTGGGTGGTGTGTGGTGTGTGGTGTGTGGTGTGTGGTGGTGTGTGGTGTGTGGTGTGTGGTGTGTGGTGTGTGGTGCCTACCTGACAGGCCCTGGCAGCTGTTGAACGCTTTGTCAGCGAAGGCAGGGCACACAGTCATGGTGGGAGCAGCAGCAGCGCCGGCACCAACGGTCTTGATGTATCTCCCCGCGTCGGGGTTGCACTGGGCGGCGCACACGAGGTCCTCCATAGCCTGGGCGCACTTGATCTGGCCGGCGAACAGATCGCAAATCTGGAGGACGCAGGGGGGTGAGGAGGGAGAGGAGTGAGGGGGGTGGAGGGGTTGCACTGCGCGGCGCACACAATGCCCTCCATGGCCTGGGCGCACTTGATCTGGCTGGCAAACAGATCGCAGATCTGGAGGGGAAGGGGAGGGGGGTCGTGGGGGGGGGAAGCGTTGGGGTTGCACTGCGCGACGCACACGAGATCCTCCATTGCCTGGGCGCACTTGATCTGGGCGGCGAACAGATTGCAGATCTGGAGGGGAGGGGAAACGGGGGGGGACAAGAATGGGTTGTTTGGCGCCGCTAAGCGTCGGGGTTGCACTGGCCCTCCCCATTGCCTGTGCACACTTGATCTGGGCGGCAAACAGATCGCAGATACGATCCAGCATCTGGAGAGAGGGGGGGGGGGGGGGAACGGGGAGCGGGAAGGGGGAAAACGGGGGAAAGAGGGGGAGGAGATGGGGTGGTTGGGTGGCGCGCATTGCTCCATGGCCGGTGCTGCTCGCACGCTTTGCCTAGGCGCGAGCTTGCTTTGCTTGACTCTGGGGGCTTTTGAGCCGACTCAGACTCAAAAGTCACCTCGTTTTGCGCGTTGCTCCGTGGCCTGTGCTGTGCGCATGCTTCGCATAGGCGCGAGCTTGCTTTGCTTGAGTCCGGGGGCTTTTGAGCCGACTCAAAAGTCACCTCGATTTGCGCATTGCTCCGTGGCCAGTGCCGTGCTCACGCGTTGCATTGCGCATGTTTGCTTTGCTTGCGCTGGGGGCCGAAGGATGCCACGCTGGATGGCTGGCCACCAAAAGCGCGCAGGGTACGACGCGCGGTTTTGCGCCTTGTTTTTTAGAATTCTAAAAAACAAAACACATGCATTTTGTTGGGGGATTATGCGAAAGTGCGCGACGCGAAATGGCGTTTCGTTGCCTTGGAGTTACCGTGTTCGTTGAGTCTTCTAGAATGGGGCACTCAACTTGTTTTAGCCCAATCAATGTATCAAATTCCGACTTTTGCAATGCGACTTGCCTTAATTGTTCCATAAACGAAGTCCAGCTGGGTCAATAGCCGGCAAAAGATCGCCCAGCGTGGGCCTCACAAGCCTCAGAGTCGCGTTACAAGACACTCGCTACAAGATCATCCGTTTAAAAGGACAAACGCGAAGTACTATAAACCTACCTTAATAGTTGCGTTGACAAAATCCAGCAGCGCGGGGTCGATAGCCGTTACCAGATCGCCCAGCGTGGAGCCCACAAGCATCAGAGCCGAGCTCAGATCCGTGCACGAATCACAGCACGACAGCTCAGCAGCAGCGGGACACCTGGACGGCACCACCTTGGGCTTCTGCGGGAGTTTGCCCGTTAAGGGGCACGCGCCGGCGGCGGAGGCGGGCGGAGCGGAGGCGGGCGGAGCAGAGGCGGGCGGGGCGGAGGCGGGGGGGGTGAGCGGAGCGGAAGGGGCTGTGGGGGCGGGGGTAGTGGTAACAAACGGGATTGGCGACGGCGGGGATTGCGCGGCGAGAGTGGGGGGGGCATGGAGGGCGGTAGTCGCGGCGAGGAGGACGAGGAGGAGGAGTGGGGACGACGCGTCACGAGAGGGGGGCGGCCGGGTCGCCATTGTGATGTAAGTGAGCGGAAAGGATGGGCGGCGATGTGACAATAGCGAGTGTGACGGAAGTGGGTTGCGGTAATGGATGGAGGTGAGACTCTGAGATGTTTGGACGGCACGCGACAGCGGCGAGGGCGGCGGAGGCGGATACGCTAGCTGTCCATCTCGGAGAGTGTCGCGTCGCGTGGGCTTTAACTACCAGGACGCGACGCGCCCACTGCAGACTCTGAGAAGCGAAGAGGTCGCTGTGAGGGGAGCAGCGGAAAGATTACTCGTCACGGAATTGGATTGCATTACTCGTCTCTTCAAGTTGAGAGAAAATTGGACCCAAGAAGAGAGAGAGTGATAACCCAACCACAACTGTCGCCACAACTGGGGAAATGGAAAGAAATGGCAGAGCGAGAGAAGCAGGCATTTTGTTTCTATCCAGACTCCTCCCTGCTTCTCTAGACCCCCGTATTTCAGGGCTAGTCTGCGCAAACTTGTTCGCTGTTAAGTGCCTTGCATTTATCGCAAAACCAGTTCCCTTTCATGGTAAACGTGATTCAGAGTTAGGAAAAACGGAGGAGGAACATCTCGGAAACAATCCGTTCATTTCATGATCATAGGGAAATCTACCCTTACGGCCCGAATTAAACATTGGAGGGAGGGAGGGGAGATGGAACGACATGTAGGGGACAACTTTAGGGGAGCGGCACGAGCCGCCGCCGCAAAAATGCGAGTGCGCTAGGGAGGACTAGGGAGGACTAGGGAGTGCGCTAGAGAACACGAATGGGTTATGCCGAGATATTTCTGGATTTCGGGAGTGTACAATTTCAGGGTCTCGACTGATCTACACTGCCAACTCCCTGCAGCGCAGCGAGAAACAAAGCACTTCCCGGGCAACACAAGTCTTTTCAGTAGTCGGAACCGATTTTGATGAATACCCCGACGATGTAGATCCTGTCGGGTCTGTCGACCGACACCATTGGCCCCAGACACAGCCGATTTTTTCACACGAGACGCAACGCAATTCACCGCAATTCCCCTCTATGGGAACGATAAACTATATCGAAACCATCCATGAACCCAAAGGAACATCTTTCTACCTCGTTGAACTAAAAAAGCTGGTAGTGTCCAGACACAACGCAACTTTAATACTCGCACGGATGACTGCTTGACGAAACTGATGCTTTCTACTGAGATTGAAAAAATAGGTTCAGATGAACAAGACGGAAACTAGCAGTAGTACTGGTGCGAGCAGCAGTACTGTAGTTAGACAGCGAAGGGGGAGAGATTGGGCATATCGCATATTGTTAGCAGATGCTGGAGTAGAGGCAGGCTTGTTTGTGTAGCTTCTTGGTGAGGAAATCTGCAGCCATTTCATTGGTTGAGCAGTAGACCAATTGCATTCTCCCCTTCTCGACTTCATCTTTGACGAATAAGTATCGTAGCGAAATGTGTTGCGTCCTGTTGGCGAAACCGGGCTGGTGCGCAATTCTGATTGCACTTTGGTTGTCGCACTGTAGGGTGAACTGTGTACTTGTCGTCAATTTCGCTTCCTCCAGTAGCTCTTGTAGATAGAGACCTTCGTGAGTAGCTGTGCAAGCAGCTATGAACTCAGCTTCAGCAGATGATAGAGCTACGAGCTCTTGCTTCGTAAAATTCCATGCAATAGTCCCGATAGGTTCGAGACGATGGATGAAGCAGGTGCGAGATCGACGATTGGAAGTATCCGCTGCATGGTCAGCATCGACGTACCCGTTGAGATATAGAGTTTTTGTAATTGTGACTTGATAGGTAAGTCCAACTTCAGGTGTCGAAATGAAATACTGTAGAGCGCGAAGAAGATCTAGCCGATTATCCCCCTCAGGTCGATGCAAAAAATATGCGAGCTGGCTAGCAGCATAGGCGAGATCCGGAAGACACGTTACAGCTGCGAATAGAAGACAACCCAGCTGTTGCTGATAGAGCTATAGTTCAGTGCTATCAAGGGGAGTGGTATCGGGTTTTTAGTGCGTAGGTAGAGATCAGTAAGGTGTGGTAACGGTTGAAGGCGTGAGGTTAAAGCGTGCGGCTAGGGTAGCTGCGTGCATAGAAGCTGTAAGATGAATAGTGGTTGGTGTGCGGTGAATGTTAAGGCCAAGAAACCGTGTAACAGTAGGTGTGATGGTAATCTATAGATGTTGTTGAAGCGTTTGTTCGAAGGAAGTAGCGAGGGAATCGATGATGCTGATGCAGAGTAAGTCATCGACATAAGTGACGAGTAGGATGTAGTCAAGATTGTTGATAAGTAGATACATTCCTTGGTCGTGCGGGGGTTGACGAAACCCGGCAGCTAGTAACTGACTGTGTAGATAATGCTGCCATAGGCGTGGAGCCTGTTTAATGCCGTAGAGAGACTTTCTGAGACGGCAGACGCTTAGAGGGTTAGTTTCGTAAAAACGCGGGTATTCAACCAAAATTAGTGCGTCGACAGGTGCGTATAGAAATGCATTGGCGACGTCGTTTTAGCGAAGTCTGAAATTCCGGCAGGCTGCGAGGCAGAGTAGGATGCGGACACTAGTGTGTCTACCGACGGGAGCGAAGGTTAGCTCGTAGTCGAATCCAAAAGTCTGCTCGAAGCTGCGGACAACCCATCGCGCCTTGATTTTTTCAAAGGAACCATCGGCGTTCGTCTTCACAATAAAAATCCATTTGCCGGTAAGTACCTTACTCCCGTGGAATTAGATCCCATGTACCTCTCTTTTCTAGAGCTGCTAACTCCCAGTCCATGGCTTCTTGCCATTTTCCCCTGTGTGGACTTGTCAAAGCTTGGCGAATTGTTTTCGGCTCTGAAACCTTACTGCTGTTTGACTGGACTACGACTGCGAGTCCCAATACTTGTAACCCAGTTTCTGTAAAACGAGGACGTTTTAAATTGGCACCGGAGAAACTGTGTTTTGACCCGTGTTCCCCCCCAATTTTTTCAGGTGTCACATGGATAGCTAATTCGGAAACAACGGGCATGGGCTGCTGCTGGCGATCACGTTCGTAATCAAGAACAACATCCCGGACAACCTCAGAGCCTACTTCACTGAGGGGAATAAACTAGGCAGTTCCGACTGACGTGTTTGGCACGGGGATGTCTGTGGCTGCTTCGGAAGACTCGGCAACTGACTCATCATGTACATTTGCCTCAGATTCGTCGGTAGCAAAAGCACGCGGGCCTTCGAACATCCTGGCAGGGCTGGCTGCTACTGCCTGGTGAGCACGAAAATAGGTAAGGTGAGTCGTTCGTAGAAAAGTCAATCACGTGCTGGTACGATTTGACTCGTGCGAAAATCCATAATTTTCCATGGGTAAAACTGCTTCTCGATGCCAAGACGAATCCCACATTTAGCCCTTTCTGAAAAAAAATCCAAGTGCTGCAGTTGTAGGTCGGTATTGGACGATACACAAAAAAACTCTTAAAAGTTTTGTGTTGCCAACTGTCTTTGTCCACTGCAGGTGTGTTGATGAAAACTGTGGAAGAGATGTTTTGGACAACAAGTTGCGCAGAAGAACTGCATGGTCCAAAGCGTAAGTAAAAAAATGTGCTGGAAGTGCTGCCTGAGTCAGCAAGACCCGCATTTTTTCCTGTAACGTTCCGTTCATCCGCTCCGCTACCCCCATCTGTTGGTGTTGATCTGGCAGGGACCCTCGGCATTTGATGCCTAGGGTTTGAAGATACTCAGTGAAGGTTGTGATCGTATACTCTTCTGCGCCGTCACTCTGAAATTCTTGAAGCTTTTCTTTCGACTCTCTCTCAGCCACTGCGAGACATGCGACGAAGATAGAGTGAGCCATATGGCGAGCTGGAATGTTGACGGTCCAAACGTATCGAGTAGAAGCTTCGATAAAGGAGATCATATAGAGCTCCCCCTTAGGTCCTGCCTTAGGTAAGTTGAGGATGTCGTTGTAGATTTTTTGCATAAGTGTGCAGCGAGTCAATCCTGGAAAATGACTTGGAAACGGTTCATGAGGAAGATTTGCAATTGTGCACGTCGTGCAGACTGTCGGTTGGGAAGACAGCTTCATCTCTGTTCCATCAGGTAAGAGTAAACAGTTGTTGTCAAGAACTGATGCTCGTATAGAATAACTAAGTATGCCCTGAGATGGATGACCTAACCGTTGATGCCATACATCTTCTGTTGCTTGGTGTCATGTTGATCGCAGATAAAAATTGGCGTTAGTACAAAAAGAAGAAATGTTGAAAGGAGAAAGCGCTGGAGATTCTTCGAGTTGTCCAGGAACGAAGCGAATAAGAGGTAACTTAGTAGTTTTAACCTCCACGTCGAGAACTTCTGGTTTCATAATGAACTCTCCTTCTTCGATTTCTGTTTCTTTTGTGTCTACTGCAGGTTAACCGATGAGAACCCTTGTTTCTGCTTCACTGTTACTCTGCTGCTTAGCTGCTTCTGCTTCACTGCTACTACTGCTAGGCCCCCAAGGTTCCAATTGAAGCATATGCAGGTGGAAGATTCCAGCTGCAGAATCACCTGTTTGGCCTGTAAAAACTATAGGATTTGTAACACCACTGGGTCCAGTTGTTGAGGAACCATCTGTTGAAGCTGATGATGGTCCAGTCATTTGTAGAGTTGACGATAGTCTTAACTCCAAACAGCTCTTTTACCATATAAGAATTGAAAAATGGTGCAGAAGACAAAGTATAGAATCTGCAGACACACGTACTTGAAGTAGAGAATAATACTGGAAGTACCTTCAGTAACAGCCAGTATTAACAAGTTGTAACACTAGAATCAATGTTACAGCCTTGTGATACTTCAAGACTTGAGCAAGGATCTTTGCTGGAATAGTAGACTAGTAAGATAGCGGAAGTATTGGAACTTGTAAGTGTTGACCAGAATCTACGGAAGAACAAGTTAATAATTGAAGTCATACAAGCTACTCAAATATCTGCTAGAAGTACCTGCTCAGTAATGTACCTGTTCAAAACTACTTGCACTATGCGCTCTAATTGCTACTGAAAGGGGTGCAACTATTCGCGTGACTGAAACGGCTTGCTGGTGTAATCATCCAGACGAGCGCTATTTGCTGACATCATTCTACGGATGCTAGGTACAGCAGAACTTGACAATATCTATCGGAACTACTTACAGAAATGCTTAAGTACGATTTTATCACAACAGTTTGCAGGCAAGGCTAATGCTAGATTCTTCACAAGCCACATTATAACGTGGCCAAATTGGTGCGGGTGCGAGTGGGAGAATCTCTAGGAAGCATTTTCGCCTGCTCACAAGATTCTGTTGTATCTTCCAGACTCACTCCTGTCTGTACAGCTGCTGCATGCACCTGAA